AAAAACTAGCCCAGTTTAGCAAACCAGTGGGAGAACAATAGGTCCAGTGGGGTGGATCAGGAAAATGCCAACACCAGGACCCCCCACATATCTTAACATAGCCAGGGAAATGGGCAGACTCCATCTCCAAGAAACACCCTGTGCTTCAGTATAACCCAAGGCAAATAGGCAATCTCTAGTGGCCAGACCATCATGTGCTTCAGCACAGCCCCAGAGAAACACAGAAACACCACCACTAGCACCCCACTTCAGCGTCAGGTAAGCTGCCTGACCCCTATGGATTTCAGCAGCTCCAGCCACCTCTAAATCCACTACCTCAATACAGTACCTGACATGAGGGTCTCCTGGGTCTTCAGGGCAACATCATCACAGAACCAGCTAAATGGCCAAGGACTTCAGCCACTGGCATAAAAACCTGAGACAGTGTCCATTCCACCCTGAGTGCAGGGCTCAAATTTAAAAGAAAAGAAAAGGGCAAAAAAAAAAGATTAGCAAAAAACAACAAAAATAAAATCTGACCATAGAAAGTTATGGTGGTGGTAAAGCCAAGATGGTGGAGTAAAAGCAGTGACTTGATTGAGCTCTCCCTCAAACCCTTCCAAATACCTGGTAAAAATGGCTCTAAACAAATTCTAGAGCATCAGAACCCACAAAAAGACAGAGTGAAACAAATTTCCAGGCCAAGACAACTTGGATGGTTGATGGGAAAGGTATGTTGTGCCGGACTAGGAAGAAAATACTTCCTTAAAAATTAGAATAGAGCAAATAGAAGCTAGTGACTTATGAAAACTCAAGACATTGTAAAACAAAAGCAAAAGGATGAAAAAAAAAGAAAACAATGTGAAATATCTCATTGGAAAAAACAACTGATCTTGAAAATAGATCCAGGAGAGATACTTTAAAAATTATTGGGCTATCTGAAAGCCATGATTCAAAACAAACAAACGAACAAACAAAAAACAGAAAGATAAGAAACAAGCTTTACATCAACTGTCTGTGATAAAGGCCTCATTTCACAAAAACTGCATCAAATGTAGAAGAATACAAGTCATTTCCCAATTGATAAATGGTCAAACATATGAAGAAGTAGTTTTCAGATGAAGAAATCAAAGTTATCTATAGGCATGCATGCTCTAAATCACTTTTTTTTTTGCACTGAATTTGATGACTTTATTGATTGTACAAATATGGACTCTAGGCTTTTCCCTCCTACTAAAGGGACAAGAATGTGAACGTGAATGGGACGTGGGATCCTCAATATAGGAACACAGGTTAGGAATGTAGGCTCCCCAGTAGTGCATCTCCTTTTGTTGGCTGGGGATAAAGTACCATGGATTTCAACTTTATTGCCTGGAGGTCATGCAGACCATGAGGTCTACTACACAGTTGCTACAAACATACTCACTCTCATACCAGGAAATGAGCTTGACAAAATGGTCACTGAGGGCAATACTAGTGCCAGCATCAAAGGTAGAAGAGTGGGTGTTGCTGTTAAAGTTACAGGATGCACCTTGATCCTCTAGCTTAAGATGCCCTTCAAGGGTCCGTCTGATGCTTTCTTTACCACTTGCTTGATATCATATTTGGCAGGTTTCTCCAGCAGGTCAGATCCACAGCAGATATATTGGGAATAGGAAGATGGAAGGTCATGCCTGTGAAATCCTATTCAGCTCAGGTATGACCTTGCCTACAGCCTTAACAGCACCAGTGGAAGCAGGGATGATGTTTTGGGTAGCAACATGCCCGTAATGCCACAGTTTACTAGTGGGGCCATCTACTATCTTCTTCTGGGCAGCAGTAATGGCATGAAATGTAGTCATGATTCCCTCCACAATGCCAAAGTTGTCATGAACGACCTTGACCAATGGGACCAATGGGTAGTGCAGGAGGCATTAATGACATTCTGTTTTTTGTTTTTTGTTTTTGTTTTTGTTTTTTTTTTTTGATGAGGCAATTGGGATTAAGTGACTTGCCCAGAGTCACACACATAGCTAGTGAGTGTTATGTGTCTGAGGCCAGATTTGAATTCAGGTACTCCTGACTCCAGGCCCAGTGCTTTATCCACTGTGCCACCTAACTGTCCCTATTACTGACAGTCTTAAGGGAATTGTCGTATTTCTCATGGTTCACTCCCATCACAAACATTGGGATATCAGCAGAAGGGGAGAGATGATGACTCTCTTGCCTCTACCTCTCAAGTGAGCCCCAGCCTTTTCCATGGTGGTAAAGACTCATATGGACTCTACAACATACTCAGCTCCAGCATCTTCCCATGTAATATTGGAGGGATCTCACCCTAGGAGATGGTAATTGTTTTTCCATTGATCATCAGCTTTCCATTCTCAGCCTTGACAGTGCCCTTGAACTTGCCATGAGTAGAATCATATTAAAACATATAAACCACATAGTTGAAGTCAATGAATGGGTCATTGATGGCCATGATGTCTACTCCACCTGAGGTGAATGCGGCCCTGGTCACAGGCACCCAATATGGCCCAATCTATTGACTCCAACCTTCACCATCTTGTTTCAGGGATGCAACTTAAGCAGCAGATCCTGGCACTAAGCTTGGGAGAAAAGTCATCTAAATCACTTTTGATTAGAGAAATGTAAATTAAAACACCTCTGAGGTATCACCTATCAGATTGGCTAACATGATAGAAAAGGAAAATGATAAATGCTGTAGAAGATACGGTAAAATTGGGATATTAATGCATTGTTGGTGGAGTTGTGAACTGATCCAACCATTCTGAAGAGCAATTTGGAATTATGCCCAAAGGGCAACCAAACTGTACATTCAATTTGATCCAGCAATACCACTACTAGATCTGTATCCCCATGAGACTATAGAAAAGTAAAAGGGGCCTACATGTGAAAAAATATTATAATAGTTCATTTTGAGGTGGTGAAATATTAGAAATCGAATAGGGGAATGGCTGAACAAGCTGTGGTATAAGAATGGAATGGAATCCTGTTGTTCAATAAGAAATGAGGAGCAGGTGGATTTCAGAAAAACTTGGAAAGACTTGTACGTGAACTGATACAAAGTGAAATGATATCAGCAACATTGTGCGATGATCAACTATGAATGATTAACCTCTTCTCAACAACAGAATAATTAAAGAAAAGTATAAAGGACTCAAGAAGGAAAATGCTATCCAAATCCAGATAAAGAACTAATATACTCTGAATGCAGATCAAAGCATATTTTTTTCACTTACTTTATTCTTTCTCTGATTTTTTTTTATTTTGATCTGTTTCTTCTTTCACATCTGTGACTAATATGGAAATATTTTTACATGATAGCGCATATATAAACTATATCAAACTGCCTACCATTTTCAGAGATGGGAGGAGAAGGAGGGAGACAAATTTGGAATTCAAAATCTGGTAAAAAATGAAGGCTAAAAACTTTATTCACATACTATAACTAGGGGAAAAAATGCTATTTATATTTTTTAAAAATACTGAGAAGGGAGAAGGAAACAACCGTTAAGTACCTGTTATGTGTTAGGCATTCTGCTAAGCACTTTAAAAATATTATCTCATTTGAGCTTCACAACAACCAGGTAATTTATTTGCCATTTTATGCCCATTTTATAGATCAAAAAACTGAGAAATACAGAGGTTAAATGACATTTTCAGGGTCATATAGCTAGTGTTTGAGGCCTGATTTGAACTTGGGTTTTCTAGTGCCACCTCATTGCTTGTTATGAAGTAGACTGCAAATCTGGTAGGGTATGGATGCTCTGTGGGCAGAGTCATTTGGGTGCTATATAGTTTTCTTGTTAGCTAAATGACCTGAGGCAAGTCATACAACCTCTGTTCCCCTCAGTTTCCTCATCTCTAAAAATGGGGATAACAATATTGAGGATCAAATGAAAGCCTTGAAATAATATACAGCCATGTTGTGCAATGACTAACACTGATGCACTTAGCCCTTCTCAGCAATGTAAGGATTTAAGACATCTCCAAAGATCTCATGATGGAAAATGCTATTCATATCCAAAGAAAAAATTATGGAGTTTCAATGCAGATCGAAGCATCCTATTTGCTCTTTTTTTTCTGTTTTCTTTTGTTTTCTCTCTCTTGTGGTTCCTTCTAATGGTTCTAATTCTTCCTTACAACATGACTAATGTGAAAATTTTAAAACAAGGATTCTAGGTATCTATGGGACATCCAAGAAGATTGTCTAATGTCCTAGTTGACCATTACATATTCAAGATTGGAGCTCAGAGAAGAGATGAGGGATCAACATATAGATTTGGCTGTCATTGATTTCAAAGAGAAGTTAATTGAACGTAGGAGAGGTGACAAGTTTACCAAAAGAGAGGGTACAAAAAATGGGAAGAAGGTACAAAACACAGCCTAGAACACACCCAAACATTGTGAGTGGGACAAAGATGATGATTAAACAAAGGAGGACCTAATTCATAAGGTAATTTATAAGTCCTGTGTTTTTGAGGTGCCCTTAAAAAGTCCCAGATGGTTTTATGCTAATACCTTAATGAAACATAATTTGTATAGAAAGTTCAGTACAAGACTGAGTACAAGTAATATTCTGATTCCGCATACCTTTCATTGTGGTGGACCCAACTGTTTGCACCATCTTCTCCAGTGAGTCTATAAGCCTATTCCTGGATTGATCATATTCTGGGTGTTCAACTCCTTTGATTATTTTACTATTAAAATTTATAAATGTGCCTTCTTTGGCATTTCTAATTCATTCATATCACAAGATACTTCATCTAGAAAGTCCTGGTACTTCCAACCTAAGCTAGGCTTTTTACATGTCTGCCAAAAGACTGCTTGTTGGAGAGTACCTAGTGACTCTGAATGGGATCTCCAGTGAGAGAAGGGTTTGGGGTGGTTTCTAGTGTGTTTTGTGTGACAGCCTATGATATTTTGCATGTAGACAAGTAGCTGAAGATACCAGCTCAAATGATGCCCTCATTCAACTTAAAGAACATAGGTACTAAAAAGGCTGGACAAACACTTACCGCCTCGTTTATTGAGTTTGGCATAACCTGGAGAATAGCTGCTGGACATGGAAGATGAACTGCTGAAGACAACATGGGGCAATGCTGAGACAAGTTGCTCATCACATTTTTCTGAAAAAACAAATCAATAAAATCACATAACTTGGGGCATTAACCAATGTTTTAAAATTTAATGTATATTATAATGGGAACAGAACAGTAACATTATCATAGAGTGAGATCCCACTTAACTATTGGTTAGATTCTTACTGAGTCAAAAAAAGTATGTCCAAGAATCTGAAAATAAATGAAAAATGTTTCTGAGCAGAAAGAAAAACAACTATCATAAAGTGCATTGTTTTGTTGGTTATTAGGCCAGACATCAGAATTCTTTGTTTTGTAATAAGTTTCATTAATTCCTTTAAAAAAAAATTATGGCTGTTTCTTGTTATCCTCAACCCATAATTGGAGTATTTCACTGTATTAATAATAATAACTAGGCAGAAAAAGGAGGAGGAGAAGGAGAAGGAAAAGAAAAGAAGGGGAATGACAAGAAGGAAGGGGGGCAGAGAAAGTAGAGGAGAAGGAGAAAGAAAATCAAAACAACATTTATATAACACTACGTGCCAGGTACTGTGCAAAGTGCTTTACAATTAATATCTCATTTAATCCTAACAAAAACCCTGGGAGATTGGTGCTATGATTGTCCCATTTTACATATAAGGAAACTGAGGCACACAGAGGTTAAGTGACTTGCCCAGGGTCACCCAGCTAGTAAGTGTCTGAGGCCGATTTCAGACTTAGGTCTTTCTGACTTAAGGCATGGTAAGCTATCCACTCACAGCAAGACCCCCCACAAATACGAAGGAGAAGAAGGAGAAGAAGGAGAAGGAGAAGAAGGAGAAGGAGAAGAAGAAGAAGAAGAAGAAGAAGAAGAAGAAGAAGAAGAAGAAGAAGAAGAAGAAGAAGAAGAAGAAGAAGAAGAAGAAGAAGAAAAAGAAGGAGGAGGAGGAGGAGAAGGAGAAGGAGAAGAAGAAACAAAGAAAAATGCCAAACTGATACACTGATGTCATCTGACTGGGTATATAAACTTTTCTCCCTGCTCTAAATGCTTCCATTATACTGAGAGGACAGAATGTAGTTCTTTTCTACTGACTAGAATTCTTCAAAAAACTGTTACTGATTAATTATCTTTCTTTATCTTGTTTCCGCTGAAAATTCTCAGGTTTTGAAAGCTTTTTTACAAAAGACATCACTCCATATATTCATATAAGAGTGAAACAAAGTTTAGAACCAAAACTTTGGGGTGGTGAACTGAGGGAGATAAGAGAAAAGGGATACTGCTACCTGAAATATTAAGAAGTTATAGCTTCCACTGAGAAAATATATAAATATTATCCATCAAAACATTGAAGTCTGGGAGAATTCAGTAAGAGAAATAGTAAAACCCTACAAACATCAATAGCTCCTGAGCTGTATTACAGAGTAGAATAGAACTGTTGATATTTATAATAATGACCTTGAATATTCAAGAAAAAGTTAATTATGTATTGTATGCCCTGTTTAATCAGGAAGAGAAGTGTAGTACCTTTTAGAAGGATTTCCAAAATGATAGTTAAAATAAAATATTTTTATACACCTAAGGAGGTAAGCTTTAGCTATCTTAGAAATTCACATGCAGAATTAATTCCCCAACAATGCAGGATATATGAAGTATAATTGTATACTAACATAAACATAATATTCAATCTTTCATTCATTCAACAAACATTAAGTGCCTATTATGTACAATATAATATTCCTGGTACTGTGGCATGATTAGAATTAAAAATGAACCAATTCATCAAATCATATTATCCTTTTTATTTTTCTTAGGTTTATAGTAAGTATTACTGAGGATTGTGCATTGTTATATGATTTTAAAGCTGGGAAAGTGAATATAAAAAATGAAAAGACTATTGTAAAGTAAAACTATCAACTTATAAAATGTTGCACATAAAGGAAATGATTCCACATTAATTGTTAAATCATATTATATGGGTTTGACTATATGACAAGTGAGTTCAAATTATTATAGAAGCTGTCCTTGTCTATTTTTTTGACTCCACTGTTATAAAACTTTATCTATGGAATTATAGTTATACTTAAGGTCTACCTCTTCACTTTTATATGATTTCAATATTTCAAAGGTCCATGATTTTATCAGCTTCCAACCATCTTTCCCTTAACATATAGTGTTTGTGAGTTGTTTGTTAGAGTTGGGGGGAAAAGTCTTTTACCAACTTTTAACTTTCTGATAATGACCTTCACTGGACAAGTTCTCAAATAGCAGGAATCAAGTCTGTCTCTGGGCACATAGAAGTGGACTTTCCTACTGTATAGGACCCACCAGAACTCATATTCCAGAAGGATAATTCTCAATCATCTCCAATCCATAAGAGACCAGGGCTTTCACAGATAATTTTGTGTTGTCAGAATCAATCAATCAATCATTCAATCAGAATTTAAATCAGAAATGAGTGTAACTTTCAAAGCACTCTTCAAAAAGAGGGGAAGGTAACAAATTCCCAGAATAATAACTAATATTTACATAGCACTCGAAGTGCTTTAAAAGTGTTACTTTATTTTGTTTTTACAAAAAAGAGTAGGAAGGGGCTATTATTATCCCCATTATATAAATGAAGAAACTGATATTGACAGATTAAGTGACTTACCCAAGGTCATATAGCTAATACATAACTCAGATCTTCCTGATTCCAGGTCTGACACCCTTATCTACTCTGCCATCCACCTGCCAGAACTGTTCTATAAAACACTTTTTTCTTCCAAGAGATCACCACTCAGTGTCTCCCATCTAGGTAATGTTAAATACGCCATTTTTCCCCCCAAAGAAAGTATGATGTCAGTGCATGTTTATGTATTTTTGCTTTTAAAATTTCACTATTTTTTCAAATGAAATGGGTAGACAATTTATTTATTTTCCTCCTATCGACCTTAATTTTATGTCTTAAACAGAATCTCTTAATATTTAAGAAGTATACTGATATTTGATGTACTTCATGAAAGGATTACATAGAAAAGGCCTTGTCTCCCTAGCCTCTGTTTGGAGGATTTCTCACCGCTAAAGTGAAAATTCAGAGCACGTATCAATTGTTTTGCATTAGCAAGGCACTTTTATATATGTAAACAGTGAGGTTGAAATATTTATTTTAACATTATATACCAGAAGAATCCCAGAGTTCAAGAGAGTCTTCTATACAGGGTAAAAATTTGCACACAGAACCTGAATGAAAAGGGGATAAGTTGAGATAGATTTTCTAATGATTCAGTTGAGCTTTTTCTCTGTTGCTCTATAAACCTACCAATCAAGTAAAAATAGGACTCCAAGATCAATAAAAAAAAATAAATAAAAAAACTTAACATTTATAAAACACTTTAAATTTTCTAAAGACCACACATACATACATATACATATATACGTATATTTATAATCATATCTCATCCTCTCAACAATCTTATGAGCTACATGCTATTATCATCCTAGTTTTATAAATGGAAAACTGAAGCTGAGGGGGAGTAAATAACTTGGCCAGGGCTACCCAGCTACTAATTGCCTCAGGCAGGATTAGGACTCAGGTATTACTGAGTTTAACAGTTTCTTGACTAATCATCTAGAAACATAACTGGTTAGGGGTGGGATTTACCAGTTCAAATAACCCTGTCATCTAATCAGGCTTTAAAAACCTCACTCCCCTAACCCATTCTAGAACATAGGATGATAGGATGTTGAGCATAGAGCTAAAAGGAGCCCAGAGGTATATATAGTCAAGCCTCTTCATTTTACTGATGAGGGAAAGATAACCTTTATATGGAAGACTATCCCTGAAAAGGGAATGATGTTGTCAAAAGATAGTCATGTTTGGATTGTCGTTATTGTTGATTCATTTCAGTCATGTCCAACTCTTAGTGACCCCTTTTGGGCTTTTCTTGGCAAATATACTGGAGTGGTTTGCTACTTCTTTCTCTAGTTCTTTTAGAAATGAGGAAACTGAGGCAAACAGGATTAAGGGACTTGCCCAGGGTCACACAGCTAGTAAGTGTATGAGGCCAGATTTGAACTCAGGAAGATGTCTTCCTGATTCTAAGACTGGTACTCTATCCATTGTGCCATCCAGCTGCCATGTTCACAGGTACATTCCTACTAAGCAATCAACAAGCATTTATTAAGCATCCTGTATGTGCTAGGCAACTTCCTAGATGCTGGAGATAGAAAGAAAAAAAATGAAACAATCATCAACCTTAAGAAATTAGCATTCCATCAGGAAGAATAACTCACGTACATAAGTAGCTACAAAATATACAAAGTATAATAGACCACTCATATAACAAGAATGAGAGAGCAATAGATGCACAGCTTGAGCATTATATTGGTAGTCCCATGCCCTCTTGATCAGCTTCAATATCCTCTGTACCTAGTGTGTACATAGTTGTTGTTTTTTTGTTTGTTTCTCTTTCTTTTTTTTTTCAGATTATCTCCCATTAGACTGTGAGCTCTTTGAGAGGAGTGATTATTGTTCACCTTTCTTTGCATCTCTGAGTGTTTAGCACAGTGTCTGGGTGCATTAAAAACCTCACCATCCTGGAAGATCAAATTAGTTCTGATGCTCACATCTCAGCAGCACTCTCTGCCCCTAAAGCCATTATGATGGGAAGTCAGAGTGGAGGGATCTTCCAGAATTTTCCTTTTAAGAAGGGTCATTTGACCATCTCACATGCCTCCACCCACACCTTATGTGATGTCTTTCCACATTAGAATATAAGATCCTTGAAGGCAGAGGTTATCTTTTTTCTTACTTGCATAGCACTGTGCTGAAAATGTAGTAAGCATTTAATAAATGTTTATTAACTAATGGACATAGAAGATGCTAAGTAAATGTTTATTGACTGACAAGCAATGTTAAAAGACTATTGGATGGGTCATTCCAGTGTATTGGATAGAGTATTTATAAAGGCACAGACAAGAATTTTACAATATGAGATATCAGGGAACTTTTGCAGTCTGGAATATCCACAATGAAGAAATCATGGATCTATCTGGGTAAATGTCTGCAATTTTTTTTTTCTTAAAAGAG